ACCAACCAGTGGAGCTCAAAATCCACCAGATGCTAAAATTGCAGGCGAATCCTTGTGACTATATGGTTAGGGAAGCCTGGTCAGAAACCTGCAAGGAGCAAACTGACGCGGTGGTAAAGTGCTTTAAAACCTGTGGTATTTCGAACAAAATAGATATGAAAGTGAGGATCATGTCTTTCACTTCCAAGGCATAGAGAACTATACATTTGAGCCAGAGAAAGAGGGGACTGAGGAAAATGAAGTTGGCTGTTTCATTTTGGACAGTGACAGTGATTCAGATGAAGATATTCCGTTGGCTGAGCTCAAATTAAGAGTGTGATTGTGACAGCTCCACGACAGCCTGTATTTTAGTTCTATGCGTAGTATTCTATCTTTTTTTCATTCTTAAGAATTAAAAAATTGTCAAAATGTAGGACTTTGATATTTGGAATTTTTATGGTTTTAATGTTACGCATAGTATTCTAACTATATATTTTCATTTCTAAGGATTTTTTTAAAAAATAATTCTTAATCAATATATTGGACTTTGATTGACTTTTTATTAGGGATGTCAAAATGTTAGTTTTCTTTAGTCGAACATTCGATTGCATTATTCGAATGATAGTCGACTATTCGGAGCATTTATTTTTATTATTATAGCACAGTGTTTTTTAACGCTTATTAAAAATGGGGAATTGTAAACACACACTATCCACACCTCCGATGAAATGTTAAATACTGTTTGTTCAATTAATGATTGCCCAAGCTATATATCAAAATGTCTTTATATGTAAGATTACTGTTTTAATAATTATCAAACTTTAAAACTTCACGGCTATGCAAATATTGTGTGTTCCTCAGCATTTATATTATATTAAATAATTTTCACAGTCCAGTACACATGTATAGCATTGCATTATTTACTACTTGCAATAACAAAAAAGTCATTGATTGAGAAATAATTATCGCGGAATGTAATTACTGTATTTTCCGCATGTACAATGTGGAAAATTATTTATATACTTTATATATTTGAGCTCTTATTCATCTGATGACTTACACTATACAGATGTATAGTTTGAGGAAGGATCCTTTTTCAATTTTGAGATGAAAACTTCATTATCACCCCTTTTCTTGCATTTGTTTTAAATATTCGAATGTTGTTTCATTATTCAATCGTCGGTCCATTCGACTAACAGTCGAATAGTCGACTATTCGTTGACATCCCTAATTTTTATCGTTTTATAATAGTTGTAAACATTTTATTTTGAATTGAATCACAATGTATTTTAGCTGAAGAACTGTATCTCTCTGAAAAAAAAATATTTTGATAGACCGGAGAGCTACAGTGCCACCCATTGAAAAAAACTGTATATTTATTGCGCGCAAGCGCTTGATTCTGGATTAATTCTTCCAAATTCTTACCTAAATTGCAAAAAAGGCTAAATTTGAAAAAGTCCTTGATACTCTCGTTGTTGACATCTTTTCGAAGAGCGTTAGACCGAATTATCTTGCTGACAAAAATGGCAATGTAAATGACGAAATTTTCGATCATCTCAATTTCAGATCCAGGTGGACTGTTAAAAACAATTATAAGAAATGTTTTGTTGTGGAATCAGTGAAAGAATATGTTAGAAATACACGGTTAGTAATATTTTGATGTGACAGTGTGAAAAACATGGAGAAACAAGTAAAATTGATGTAAAGCATCAAATCAGCCGCTAACATATTTGGCATGTCAAAAAAGTACTTTCACAATTCAAAGCATTCATGCAAGAAAAGCACAGGATATTCAAAGTTGAATTTATAGTGATAATTTTTATTTCAGGCCGTCTTCAAAGCATTTAGATAAATAAATATTTTTAAAAATTTAATAGAAATTTTAGTGCATTTACTCAACCAATGGACTTATAGATGTAAAAAAAGAAAGGTCAATGATGAAATCAATGAGAAATTATTGGCATCAAAATGAAGATGTAGGTTCACGAAGTGCCGATACCCTGGATTTTAGTCATGGGATAATGCCTATATGGTTTCTGCAAAGTAGGCTATGCTGCATGGCGCGGTGCAAAATGTATAAAAATAAATCTTTGTGTCATTCGCGGCTGTATCATTTTAGTACGTTTTTACTAGTTGAGCAAATTTTTAATTTTTTAATTCACCATTCACTTTTACCACGTACACGTCATTATTATCCGGAAAATCACGACGATTTCCTTTCATATCTTATACACTCCCTGGATGTGGAGTACCTATTGTAAATTCTTTTTATTTAACCATCAATTATCAATTATCTTATGCGAAATGATAATGAAATTGAAACATACCGGTAATAACAACGATTAAAACTTTAAAGTTTAAAGCAAGTTTTTAAAATATTTTACTCATGATTTTATACATGTTATCATCTGAGAATTATTTTACTGATCTAATAAAATAATAACATCTCATTTCCCCATGTGCACTTTCTAACACAACCAGTCCACAAATAGATTGGCCGCTGCTGCGGCCGATAATAAACCAAGAAAGAGCGCACTTTTTTGTGCGCTATAAATATATACAGTTTTTTTCAATGGATGTCATTGTAGCTCTCCGGTCTATCAAAATATTTTTTCGGAGAGCTACAGTTCTGCACCTAGGAATATTTATAATAAAATGATTGAATTGATACTGTGTTCAATATCTTGCGTGTAGAATAAAAAACACATTACAGTTTAAAATCTTTCCTAAATGGCATTGTCATGACCGGCTTATTTTCATAACAGGCTTATTTTAATTTTATGCAAGAAATGGTGGCTTATTTTTAAAACTGGCTTATTAAATCCGTCTTATTTTCAAGGTTTTTTCTGAGAAGATGTATGAGTTTTACAAGGACAATTATTCTGTAAAACACACACACACACACATCATACTTTTAAAAGTATTTATTGCAGAATATAGATAAAAAAAATACAAGAATCCATCTATTATATATATACTTATATATATGGCACTAAGTCTAGGTACCGTATAGAAGAGATCAATGAGACTTGCATGACTAAGAAAAAAGAGTTAGCTTTACAATTTTTTCGCCACATTTAATGTGCATTGAATTAGATGTCAGTAACAGCACCAAACTTTTGTCACGACTACAAGATACTTGTACTTGATGTACTTCAATGGAGTTTTTACTCCGGTTGATAACGCATTATACTGCTCAACACTTTAAATTTTTCATAGGTAAAGTCTTCAAATTTGTTACTAAAGGTACTATCTGAAAAATGTCGGAAATGAAAACTAAAAAAAATGTCGGAAATGAAAAGTTTATAATTACAAAAAATTCCGGAAATGAAATGCAGCCCCCTTGCCCTGATAACGTTATTTTTTTTATTTTTTCCTCCGACCTTATTTTTTCTTTGATCTTTGCTGTACATGTAGTTATAATACGTGTGAAGTTTTGTACTCATAATAAATATGTCTAAATATTAGTAATTTCAGTTATAATACGTGTAAAGTTTTGTATTACGTCACAGCCTATATTGATGACAGCTGCTCAGATAAATAGTACACGCCTCCTAACCGCAAGCCTTACGACTGGAAGTTTATTCTAATCCCTGATTGGTTGCTCGTGCAACAGACTATTTCCGTGTCAATGTTGATAATATGAGTTGACCAATCGCACAGCAGGGATGTAAATCGTTTACGCTGGCTGTATCTGTCGAAAAAGACCTTGACGTAATGCAAAACTTCTCACTTAACTGAAATTACTAAATTATCAGGCCTATACAATGAATAGATCAAACGTTATTTTGTATTTAAGATGGGAATCCTTAATGACCACCATATAGGATCCGTGTCTGAAACTTCCGTCATGTACAAAATATGACAAAAAAACATATCATTTTTTATATGAAGAGCTTTGATTATTGATATTTTAGAGATTTTATTCTTTTTCTGTGTGTTCTAAATTAAAAGATTTAAAACAGACTTCATGGGTGCTTTGTACTACATTAATCTCCCTCTCTTTCTTATTGAGACATCTGCATAAGTATTTGCATGCTATAAAGAGTGCTAGATTGTAAAATATCACTCCAAGGCTACCATGGATATAAGAAGTGCACAGTGTCCAGTTTTCTTTAATTTATTTGCTTGTTTATTCACATAAACATGTATATGTAATTGATATGTTTTTATGAGTAACAAATGTAATGAAGGGTCATCATTAATCATTTATAATTGTAAATATTAACCTCAACCCGTGTAGCGGGTCTCTCACGTGTATTGCACGTCTGTTGGGTTATCAAACCAAAATTCCAGACTCTCTCTATAAATATAAGGAGCATCAAAACAAACAAGTCAGTAACCAAAACAACACAGTAACGGAGGTAAGACCAACTTTTTACTTATTAATAGATATATCATTCACATTTATATCCTAGAGTTTATAGATTTCAATTTCATACAAAATCTTAGCACAGGGAGCATATACATATATATTCAATTTGGTTGTACAAATAATGCAAAGAACATCTTTTTTTCTAAATTAGGAAAAAACGACACTTTGAAAAATGACATTTTTCAAATTTGCCGCTTAAGTCTTGATTATAAGGTACCAGCGTATAGGAACGATGGATACAGGGAAGTTTACCTCTTCTGTTAGAAGTATTTTTTATGCTTTTGACCCTCAATAATTCGTCTTATGATACTTTACTTTGGCGAAAGGGTAGCTTCTCAAGGATTTTTGTTTGATAGTGTCCCCCAAACTGAAAAGATGGTTGTGTCCCAATAAAAAAAAAATGATCGAACGGGCCTATAATAACTTTTAGGCATCGACCTTTAATAAGTTTTTACCATGTATATTCATATTATACTATTATACTATATTATATATGGTAAGTTTTATGTAAAAGTTCGATGTTAATTAGATAAGAATTTGATGACACACATTTTAAAGCAATTACTAATTCAATTTCTTCAAATCAGGACCTTTGGGCCGATGGCACCAATCAAAAACATTTTAACTTGTTTTCCCTCTGACTTCTTATTATTTTAAATGTCTGTAGATCACCTGAAAAGCTGCAATGCCTCGACTAGCTGTAGTATCACTAGTCCTTCTCGTCACTGTCTCGACCATCACCGCTATCCAGGCGCCCAGCAATCCATCATTCTGTCGTAACCTTGACTGCCCCAGGTACACGGTGATAAACACATTTAATGTAAGTATTCATGTAGTCATATCTTCAATGATTCAAATACTTGTATAAGTGTTAAATAATCAGTTTGTTCAATTTTTAAGTTTGTGAAATAGATGAATATAGTCACGATAAAATGGCATTCAAATTCTGTGTACATGTATTACCTAAGCAATACTTATCCACTTTACAGTGACGTAGCAGTGATTTCGAAAGTTGGGGAGGGGGCAGCCAAAGAAAAAAAAATAACCTGTCTGAAAAAAAAAAACTAGACAAAAAAAAAAAGGAAATTGCCCAAACTCAAAAATCCTATTTCGTCGGGGGGGGGGGGGAGGCTTCTTTCAGTACCAATTTTTTTCCATTGTATAAAACAAGTGGGGGGAGGGCAAACAGACTTCAATGAACATTGTAAATAGTTAAAGGTTATGTTTGAAAAAAAGTGGGGATCGCCCCCCCCCCCTTTGTTGCTACGTGCCTGCTATAGTAGCAAGTATAACATCAAAAAGGATGTCATTTCGACATAAAGCGCGGCAGAAATCTAACTTGTTTGTAAATAATTTTGGTAGACCAAAAGATCAGCTCAATATCTGTCATTTTGGGACATCTTAGGACGGACTGACTGGCTGATTTACTAACCACTAAAGTTAACAAACACACGGACAAAATGAGCAATAGTAATGAATATTTTCTTCTAGGGATATGAATTAAGGAGATATGAGCCTTCTCAATGGGTTGGGACACGGGATGTTACACGGACGAATCAGAGAAACCCAAAGATGTTCTGGAAACTGTTCTCCTACATTTCCGGCAATAATACTGAAGGTATTCTCATCTTACTATTCATCTTAAACGCAGTTCTAAACCTTAATTAACATCTGTTGTGAATGCTATCTAATTTTGTGTCTCGATAGGTTTGAAGATTCCAATGACTGCTCCTGTGTTGAACGTCCACACTCCTGGGGTGGGAAGTAACAACCAAGAGACTGTTTTGGAGATGCTTTTCATGATCCCACATGACAAACAACCTTACCCCCCGTACCCTGTCGACCCCACAGTATACATCACAAGACTCCCCGCATTAAATGTTTATGTCAAGTGAGTAGTCTATAGTATTATGACATATCCTGGAATTTAAAATCATACGATAGGTATTCTTGCTTAAATTATTGAAAACTCAGTGAGCTTGAACAGACCGCTTATAAATATAGGTAAAGAATTGAAAACAAGAAAAACGAAGAAATTTATGAAAAAAAAAAAAAAAAATACTGTAAACACATTGATCGATTTCCTTGTGTTTTAGCAAGTTCGGCATTAGTACAGGAAAATCTGAAAACTTCCAATACTAGTATTCAATAAATTTCTTTTTTGCCCAAATAACATTCGATACTTTCATGTCCCTTACCAAGTAGACTAATTCAGTTCAGTGTCGTTTAATCATATATTTAGCCATAAATCTGCCCGACTGACGCACAGTTGTGCATGGAAATAAAATATTCGATTGAATTCAGCCTAAGAATTAGAAATACGAAACTTATCTTTGCAATAATCTTGCATACATAATTTGAAAAGTTAAAAAACATATTATGACATTAAAAAAATGTTTAAACCCCGATAATTTTTCCAGATCTTACGGTGGATACTCGAATCAAAAGAAGAAACTTAGGCGAGTGGAGGAACTCAAGAGTGAGATTAACGACAAGACTCTGTATTATAGCGATCACTTCTACTCGGCCGGGTATGATAGTCCGTGGCAGATGGAGAACAGACATAACGAAGTATGGCTGGCCGCTAGACAGTAACTGTTATAAAGAAGTCTGGCTGGCCGCTATATAGTACTGTATAACATAACGAAGTCTGGCTGGCCGCTAGACAGTAATTGTTCTCACAACGAAGTATGGATGGTCGCAAGATAGTAACCGTCTGCTTTTCATCACTCGCAAAGTTGTTCATCTTCCATTAATGCAAACGAATTTGTTAGATTTAGATTACTCAGTTCTCCGATCCATCCATCAGTACTCGTCGTGTTTTGCTCTACCCATCCCCAATCGCAAGGATGTAATAGTATTCAAGCATTTTTTAAAGAGAGTCCCATTTCTGATCTGACATACTACTAGTATTAAAAATGTAAATTTTCATCTGTATGTTTTAATGAAGAAGCTTTCACCAGGAACCTTACAAACTCTTGTTGAAGAAAAAGGTTATTTTACGTGTTGTTATCTACTGGAAGTACCCCATATGCTTTCTTTCGTCATTTTTTTTTTATATGTACACTATTATTTGTTTATTTTTCTCAGCTTGAGCATTTTTTAACTTCTTTGATCAATATTGATCATCCTCTTTAAAAAGTTTTTGTAATACTCACTCGAATCTCTAAAACATCCAATACTGTAAATGAATGTTCATCAGTAGTCATGATGGATACTCTGTGTTTTTAAACTGTCTGCAGTGAAAGTGTATTGAAATTCTCATTTGAGTTTTTGTGCTTTTGAAATTCGTGATAAAGTCGCCACTTTTGAAAGGATGGATAATTCAAAGAGAAAACTCGAAGTATATTATTTTTATATGTAAAGGAAAATATTATTTCCGGAATAAAAGTGTTCGAAATAATTTACAGTCTCACTCTTTCAGTTAGATAGACGTTGCATAACATCTCTTGATAGCAATATTTCATTCAACTCAACCTAGTCCTGTCATGCATTGATACGTGTACCAATAAAGAAATTAAAATGAAAAAAAAAGAAAAGAAAAATATGAACATGTCTGAGGAAAAGCATGCATGTAAAATAAAAGATTGCTCTTTTTGTGAAGTTTTGGTGGGTTTTAAAAGTATCAATTATAAACTTTACAGAAACAACAAATAATTGAACAGTACAGTGATTTTGACTAGCCACAGTCAACATCGGCAAGGCAGTTTTTCCAAAGATTAACTTGGGTTACATTGCTAAGAAGTGAAATGAGTACTACGGATATCTTAGAACGATTCTCAGTAATAAGACAGCTTCGTTAACATGCCTGCTTGTCTTCAAACAATTACAATGTTGTCGGAATTCCAATGGACAGTAATTATGCACCTTCTTTGGACGAACTGTACTTATATTCTGATGAAGCTGAAATTATTTTTTCTTTAAATGAACAAGACGTTTAACATTCCAATACAAGTACATCGATGATATCCTATCAATTATTAGTAGTTCTTTACACCATATTTCTGTTCATAAACCTCACCTATAGTAACCTACAATGAAGCGCATTGAAGTGGTAAAATTTTCCGTTTGGATGAAACGTTCTGAGTCATGTTTTGAACGTCAATTATAACATAATGACACGCCCATTTCTTTAGAAACGAAAAAGAAATATTCGTCGTAATGTTTATAACACCCCACTCTTCGTGACAAGCAACGTGAGTTACACCAAAATGGAGATTATTAAAGTTATAAGAGAGAGAGAGAGAGAGAGTTCCCACTTCTGTAAAACACGTATTGCAACGAATTTGTCGATAATTATGAATTTATCATGTTTATTGGAGTTACCATAACACATGTATCGGTCGAACACGTGCTTATTCGGTGTTTATGCGGACCGTGAATTTGATTGGCTACTATATTTATAGAATACCTGTTCTACAGGTATTCGAATGAACCATTTGACCGATTTTTCCTTTCTAAAGAAATGGGCGTGTCATTGTATGACAATCATCGTTCTAAAGATAGCTCAAAACGTTCCAGTCAAACTGAAAATTTTACCACTTCAATGCGCTTCATTGTATTTCTATATAAAGATATCTTTTTTTTTCTTTTCCATCATAAACTTTCCCTTTCTAGATAGCGATAAACTATGATTTATCTGCATATGGTATCTAGGTCTCCTGGCTGATTTGAGTTCGAGTGGGATCTATTTTTAACCGAGGCAGTCTACTGAAAAATAAGTTGGTTTTACAGATACATGTACGTGCATTCTACTATATATCTCATATAAACTCATCATTTAGTAAAGTGTTCATGTAGTCCTTATAATTACCCTTCAAGACCTTGTTTTGACAATTAGAGAAGCGATCGTTGCATGGGTTGTTTTTGATTGACTTGTTTTCCACCAATGAATGTTTTACACTAATTTTGACTATGGAATATTTCGCTCATACAAAAGTTTCACAGCAGGTTTGACCTATGGATATTGTCCCCCGCTTGAAAAGTGGGGGATATTAATTTGGGTTTGTCCGTCCGTCCGTCCGTCCGTCCGTCCGTCCGTCTTTCTGTCTGTCTGTAACGCTTTCGTTTCCACACGATATCTCGAGAACCCTTTGAGCTTTTGCAATGAAATTTAGCATAGCAACTCCCTATGGACTAAAGAAGACCCCTATCGATTTTGGGGTCAAAAGGTCAAAGGTCAAGGTCATAAATAAGCTAATTCTGTCTGTTATAACACTTTCGTTTCCACACGATATCTCGAGAACCATTTGAGCTATCGCAATGAAATTTTACATAACAACTCTTTGTGGCCTAATGAAGACCCGTATTGATTTTGAGGTCAAAAGGTCAAAGTTCAAGGTCGTAAATTTATACATTCTGTCTGTGTGTAACACTATCATTTCCGGGCGATATTTCAAGAAGATTTTGAGCTTATGCAATATAATTTATACCAAAACTCCGTAGGACCTCTCTCACCCCTCTGAAAGTGCCCCGCCCCGTTTGTTTTATTAGTATTTATAGTATTACATGTCGCTATTTTTAGCACAGGGGCATGAGGAGAGTTATTGCGTATAAAACAGGTTCTCGGCAGACTTTATGTTCTTATTACGTCTATTAGAACTGTTTAATAAAGGCTAAATAAATCAAACACTATGGATTGTGTAAAATTTTGACAATACCGAACATGAATATATACATGTATGTGACTTCAGTTCTGCATATACTTCCATCTGTGTAAAGCGACTCCGTGGTCCAGTGGTATGTCTCTCGCTTCACATGGGAGAGGTCCAGGGATCGAATCTCGATCAATCCTTTTTTTTTTTTTTTTTTTAAATACTTTTCTTTTTTTTTTACTAAATGATAGTATTCAGCATGTGAAATGAAAAATTTATGAGGTTATAAAATCATCATTACAGTGTGATAAATATTCCATATAAAAAGAATCTTCTATACACATAATAAAGAATAAGCAATCAAATCTTTATATGCATATTGACATACATGTATTTTATTTGCTTCAGTATACATGTATACTTTTAATAATTCTACAAATTCAGTCGGGGGGTCCGACTTTTTCCCTAAGCGGGGGACACGAATTCTCTGAATTAGCTTGTTGTAATTAAGTTTACTCCGCCTATACATTTGGGGCCTGTTTCACAAACATTTCCTAAGATATGTCGTAAGACATAACTTAAGATATGCCTAAGTTTTAACTTAGGAAGTTCCTAAGATTTGTCACAGCTGTTTCACGAAACAATCTTATCTTAAATTTTAAAGTCATTTCTTAAGTTGTGCCTTTATAAGGACTGATGAAATAACTTCTCCGCTCTATCTACAACTCTCAGTATGTCAGTCTGGGTTATATTTTTAGCTTCAAAAAGGGAGGGGATTATCCCCACTTTCAAAGGACTTGGACAGAAGTATGTTTTAACTTTGCGAAGTTTGCTGCTAGAACTAAGCATTCACAGACACACCCTTTCAAGCCTTCTTCCCTTCCGAGCACACGACATTTGTGTTTTTTAAAATATTGTCCCACGTTTTATACGTTTACTTTGTTTGCTCTTTATAAGGCATCGATCCCAGGTATTGTTTTTCACTATACTTCTCTATTTGTCAATTATTGAATGAAATTTAAAAGTGATTGCTTCGTAGCGAACACAGGTGAGGACAATAAAAAAAAAAATGTTTTTCCAGTGACTGCTCCACGTTAGTTGTTCGTGCTGTGTCAAGCTTTCTCACATATATAAAACAAGAAAACATTGATGTAACCATCAATTGTCGCCCGGGAAATATATAAAGTAAACAATGGAAATGAGTCTTGATCATCAAACCGCTTCGATATATGTGAAAAGGCATGCGTCTAGTTGATGGAGACGATAGTCACGAATATTTTGAAAACTTAGAGTCGGATAAATATCAAACAAAAACGATACCATTTTAAACTTCAATTCCTCGAGTAAATGTAGGCTGCATAAAATATAAATTAAAGTTAGACATATGCATCACCTATATTCAAAAATGTATTTAAATTTTCGATTTTAGAATATAAAACACGAACTGTGCAGAGCACGTTTTTATGCGAGAAGTAAAATTCGATGTTCTAAAAAAAAGGGACCTGTCGTTTTTTCGGTAGTAAATGATAAGTAACTTTATATATATTAAATGTGAAAAACATATATATTTTTAAAGATTAACTTTATGGAAGTAAATATATTATATATCTCGTAATTTATAAAGGGAAAGAACATTCTGATTAACAATCTTTTCAATGTTTAGAAAACCTTTAATTCTGAATAACTACTCCCACCCCAATCCCCAAACACCAACACTTAAACATATATTTATAGAGCAGCCCGGTCCTCCGGGCTGCAATAAGAATGCCATGCTAGAAAAAAATCCCAAATTCGCGACTACAGATATGAAAATACTAAAAGAAGAAGTTTAAGAAGGAAATTTATTGAAATCTCTTGCACAGCTATACATTTTATTAAGCGGGGAGCATAAATTGTTCTGGTTGTGATCTCATGGCCATAGGAACTGGAGGAGCAAGGGAGGGGGTATAATAATAATTTTCCTATGTATAGAATACTTTAGAAAACAAAACTGCGTTATGTTTGTGTCTTCTCAATAATAACGTCCTAGAGGAGATTAGATGCAACCATTCTTGGGAGAAACATCTACATATCCGGAGCTTGTTTTGGGGTTCATCAAAAATCATGTACTTATCTAAAGCGAACAAGTGTTTCCATTCATCTATAATATCCTTTTTTCAAATTCTATTTTAATATCCATTAAAATACTAGTAATATGTAAGTAAACATACATCATTTACATGCATGTAGATAAAAACGTTATGTATGCATGCATGTATAATAATTGGATCAAATCATGTGCTATTTTTTGTTAACAAAGGCGTGTTCTTCAAATGATGGGGAATTATTCCAGTATGTGTACATCTATTTCGCTAACTCCAGTTTTGTGAACTGACATCTTTATATATATATACCTTGGACTAATGTTGACACATATTGGCCACTTATTGAAATCCCAATATTTACGTGCAAGGTAAAGCAGTTTTAACCTGGAGAGAACACAATCATCCATATACTAGTAGTTCATTGGATTTTCTCTCCCCAAACACATTCTCTCTCTCCATGAAAAATCTTGGATATGCAGCTGCAATATCTAGTTTCTTCCTAAGTCATCGATTTACCTTTCCTAAAGTTACGACATAACTTAGGAATATCCTAAGATAAGAGGAGGTTAGTGAAACGGATAAGTAATGAACTTAGGAAAAAGTTCTTTCCGAAGATCCAACTTAGTCCTAAGTAGGCTTTGTGAAACGGGCCCCTGATCCCTATGGTGTTTCTGTGATTCCATATTTTTTGTGCTGTTTGCGTTTCGTATTTGTCGCTGTATATA